TTTATAATCTTTTTCTTGAAATATCTAGTGTGAGTTTTGTTTGCCTGTATAATGTACCAAGTAAAATGCAATAAATAGATGTTTTCAAAAATGAAAAAAAAATCCAGGGAGACAATACCAATGAGCCCTTCTTGAAGAAATGACTTGAAAATGAAGGAAAATAAGGAACTCCGGAAGGAAGAATTGTGGTAAATAGATGGTGAAAAATAGAGCAAAGTAAGATGAAAGGAAATGCTGTGCTGGGGGTGGGATACTGATTTAATACAAGATGGTCCAGGAAAGTCTTACTGATAGGATGACATATTGAGCAGAAAAATGCATGAAGTAAGGGAATGAGCTATGGAAATTTCTGGGGGATGAGTTTTCAAGTTATAAATAAAGTGTTACAAATATCAGAGGAGGGGAATTCATCCTTGCTATTTGTATCCAATAATTGAACTAAGTGATTACGGCACCTACCACCACTTGATGGCACACTCCAACTATAACAAAACTATTTAAGGAGAGACCCAAACCAGACCAAACCCGCTGCTGTTGCGTCAATTCTGACTCACAATAACCCTATAGGACAGAGTAGAACTGTCCTCAAGGAACAGCTGGTGGATTCAAACTACTGACCTTTTGATTAGCAGCTGAAGCTCTTAACCACTGCGCCACCAGGACTCTGAGGAAAGAACAAGTCTGTGGTATTTAAACTGTGAACTGAAGTTGTAAAGCGAGGCAAACATCATAGAGGGAGAAAAGTTCTGTTGTGTCTGTAATCTCTGAATCTTAGATCTGTTAGTTTGTTGGACTTTCTGATTTCTGCAGAAAAGACAAAAAAAAAAAATCCAATACCCAATATATCTCAATAACTCTTAGTTATAGGTTTTATGACTTCCAGATTCCATTCCTGTACTGTAAGTGGTAAAATGTTTGGATTTACTTTGCCCAGCCTGTTACCTTTGCTTCTCCATTTAGAAACACATCTGCCTAATATTCTCACCATTGCTTGGGCAGCGGGGGCGTGGGGAGGGTGGATTTCTATTAGCTTGGCAACCCAGAAAATCTCACAGCCATCTGAAGACCTGCCACTTTTTTAGTGGCTCTTCTCCTCCTATAAATAATTGGAGTTCTTTTCCTAGCATTGATTTTGGAGGATCTGCTAGTTTGCTCTTGGCTACTAACCTAAAAGTTGGCAGTCCAAACCCACCCAGTGATGCCACAGAAGAAAGGCCTGGCAATCTGCTTCTGTAAAGATTACAGCCAAGAAAATCCTACTCTGAAAAACATGGGGTTGCCATGAGTTGGAATCAACTTGATGGCAATGTTTTTGTTTTATTTTTTGGCCAGTGTTTCCACATCTAAACCCAGAGAAGTGATGTCTTAGTTGTTCAATTAGACTAATGTTTATGGACAAGCCAGGCTCTGAGTGGAGTAGTACAGATAACTTTGCCTGGCCCATTCTTGTTTACACTTCAGGTCAGAGCTTGGGTGTCATTTTCACCAGAAGGACTTCCTATGACATCAGTCCTGGTGAGGTTCCCCTCCTATGTGCTCCCTTAACCCCATACCCTGTCACTTATCACCCTACATTCTAATAACTTGTCCGTTTGTCTCTCTTCACCTCTTACTTGAAAGCTTTATGAGAACAAAGAATATATTTATCTTGTTCATAATTGTATTCCTTCTGCTGGACACAATGCCTGGCACATAGAGAGTACTCAAGAATGTTTTGTTGAATGAATGCACTTCTAGGATCCTTGGCTAGGTTCTCTCCCCCCCCACCCCAAATGAGTTCCTTTTTCAATACTGAAGGAAAAAAATCACTTAATTTAATGTGTACTTAAATCATTCACTGTGTATTTCCTTGCTGTTACGTGGAGGCTGAATCAAAAATTTTTATTACCTAATTTCTATAATTACATAGCTTTGAAGAATGTGCCTAAAGTTATTTAGCAGCAAAACTTTACCTAGAATCTAGGTTCCTGGATCCTCCAAGCTTAGGGGGTTTGTTAATCAAGGCTCATTTCCTGTAAAATGGCCATGCCAGTCTTCTGGAAATAAAACAGACAGCCTGGGTAGGGTAGCTGAGGTGTTGGATGCCCTGAGTTGCATTACCTGGGTCCCCTTCTGATTTCAGCCACATCTGTAGTGAAAGCCCTGTACAAATTCAGACTCATGCTGCCTGCAACACAATCCAAGAGCGAGTGTACAGACTGGTTTTCTACATCAAGTAAAAGAGCCCTCTCTGTTCTGTGAACATATATAAACCAGGAGGGCAAGGAGTTAACCCTCAACCAATGCAGGATAGGAGTGGTGGATATATGTTCCAGGCTTATGATGGATAATTCAGGGAGGCATTCTGCATGTTACTCAGAGGTCTTGGAGGAATAAGCAATAACCTTAATAATGGACCCTTACGTTGACCTTTCTTTTTTCTTTTTCACTCTCCTTGACCCATAATTTCTGTTCCCTAGAAGCACTTCCCGAATCACCTAACTGCGCCCAAATCATTGTCTCAGGCTCTGCCTTCAGGGGTGCCCAAAACTAAGCCAAACATCCATTCAACAAAGCGGCTACTCTATGCCATTATCGTTGTTAGCAACCCCATGCACAATGGGATTGGGCTGTTGTGATTCATAGGGTTTTCATTGGCTGATGTTTCAGAAGTAGATCCGAAGGCCTTTTCTTCCTAGCCTGTCTTAGTCTGGAAGTTCTCCTGAAACCTATCCAGCATCATAGAGTTATGAAAGCCTCCGCTGACAGACCAGTGGTGGTTGGTTGACCTTGAGGTGCATTGGCTGGTAATCAAATCTGAGTCTCCCACGTGGAAGGCAAGAATTCTACAACTAAACCACCAGTGCCCCCACTCTATGCTAGGCACTGAAATAAAAGACCTAGAAGATAAAATAGCTAGTGTCTCCCCTGAAGTGTATAATGGGAAGATAAACAAGTAAACATTTACAAAAAAAAAGAAAATGCTATGCTAGTGGCAAGAACAGCATGATGTATGAAAACACAGGGAGGTCATCTAACCCATACTTGGGGGAGAAGATTCCTAGAGAATGTATTGCTTGAGCTAACGGAGGGAGTGTAGGCAAAATACAGCTATAACAACTTTGTACTATACACGTCACCTGAAAATTCAACTGAAACCTCTTTGCGCTATGTGTAAGGGTTATGGGGTCACCATGAGTTGGAGTCGTCTAGATAGCAACCAACAACAACAAAAGGTTATATTCTGTCCTGTAATGGCATCCAGTACATGGCATGATTTTAGGTGGTACATGGATGGGCATTTAAACTGTTTTGTAGTTGTATATTTATGTTAATGTGTACTAGAATAAAATATAAGGAGCACGACAAACTTGATTTCAGAGTATTATGGTTTAGGATGAGGCTTAAATTTTTAAATGAGCCAACATTGGCTTTAAAGAAAAATATTGAGTGAATAATAATACCCAGATGTAGATTGGCAAAGATTGTGTAGGCGGTAGGCAGATTACTTCAGTTTGGGAAATAATGTGATAGCAGAAGGAATATCTAAAATGAAATTCCTGCCTTCCAGGAACTCAGTTTGTTGAGGATCACAGACCCACAAGCAAGGATGACAAATGCTACAGTAAATTTAGAAATGATGTACACGGGGAGGATGGGAAAACAGTGAAGAGCAAAGTGAAGGAGAGGCTAGAGGCTACAAGACGAGTTGGAAGAATATTGCTCTAGTCCAGAAAGAGGTAATAACAGCCTGAATTAGGAAGTGGCCATAGAAATAGAAGAAAGACAACGAATGTAAGAGGCTCATTGCAACCATCCTGTGAAAACCTTACTGGTTACTACCAGGACAAAGGTAAAACCTGTCTAGCTGTCAAGAGCAGTTTGCTCCACACACAAAAAAAGAGTGGAGAGCTAAATCATCAGAAATAATTGTAACATATATATGTTACAATTATAACAATACAGTCAGGAGCATATTTTTATTTGGCTTCAGTTATCAGAACTTTTTAGTGTGAATTATTCAGATATTTGCCCCCCTTTTTCCCAGTTGACTCAGAGGCTGGAGAAATGCTAACACATATATAGATAGCTTTCTACGTTTCAGGCTTATTCTAAGCGCTTTGTATTTACTGATTACTCTATCCTCATAAACTTTATCTCACAGATGAAGAACCTGAGGCATAAAAGGTTAAGTAACTGATCAAGAGATTAAGCAGCTGATAAGTGAAGTAGCAAGGATTAAAAAAAAAACCAGGCATTCTGACTCTTTACACCAGAATAAATGGGTCCAGTAGACAGCGCTAATTCAGCGTTGCGGCGTGAAACACTCACTCTTACTGGTGGCAGAAGACCTGGTTCTGAGATCTGGCTTTGCTGCGTAACCTCAAGCAAACAGCCGCCTACTCAGAAAAGCTTTTTCTGAGCCACAGTTTCTTCACCTGTAAAATGGAAATAATAACGATGCCAGGGGCTTGGTGAAAAGAGAGGATGAGATAATGAATGTAAAACTGCACTTCAAACTACGTATGCGGCTCCACATACTAGTTTTTCGAAATATGACTACCAAAACCCAAAACCCATTGCCGTCCAGTCGATTCCGACTCATCGCGACTCTATAGGACAGAGTAGACTGCCCCATAGGGTTTCCAAGGAGCGGCTCTTGGATTAGAACTGCCGACCTTTCCCGCTAGCAGCCGAACACTTAAACACTACGCCACCAGGTTGCACGAACCCACAAACTGCAACCAATCAGTCCGCGTATCTTGTAGCTCCAGAGTGAGACTCCGCCTCTGAGACCCGGCCCATCGCAGGACAGGTGGGGGCCGGCAGATTCTTTTCTGCGCATGCGGAAACCGCCGCCGGCTCCCACCTCTAACCCAGGCCGAGAGTAGCTGCTGTTTCTGAGCGGACGATTCGTAGGGAGGCCCCTTGCGCGGTTCCCCTTTGCTCCCCCTTCTGCGGGCTTTCCCCGTACCTCAGCGGTGTCCAGACAGCGTCGCGTTCTCGTTTACTTGCCTGATTTTCTGCAGAGGCGGCTGCCATTGGCCCCAAGAGTTCGCTGTCGAAAGTGCCAGCCCCCGCGCCGGCGTCGGGAGCAGCCGGGTGGGAAGGTTCAAAATGGCGTGCCTATTGGAGACCCCCATCCGTATGAGCGTCCTCTCGGTGAGTCCCGCCGCAGTCGCTCGCCCGGGAGCCCTAGCCTGCCCCGCAACGTTCCCCCAAGCGCAGCGTGCCTCCCGGGCACCACCCCCTGGGGTGGCCTCCGGCTTAGCCTCCGGCTCAGCCTCGGATCGAGGAGTAAGGGAGGGTGGGCAGGCGGGATAGATGGGACCCGGCCGAGCTACAAACGTTTCCAACTCTGAAGGCTCCCACTAGTGCCGGACCCAGGACGGCGTCCGGTGAACTGGGTGGTGGAGCGTACGGGCAACTGACCCAGTGGCGCGGCTTAGGCTTTGCCAAGCGTTTCTCTCAATCTTCCTTTCAGCGATGCCCCTTCTCCGGGCCGCGGCTCTGCCCGTGAGGCGCCGGTCTTGCTGCCAGCCTGGGAACGAGCTCCCACTCGGCCCCCTGAAGCGTTGGCAAGAAAAGGTGCAGGCTCCTTGACCATCCCGCCCCCACCCCCCCGCAACCTCCCCACAAGTCTCAGAACTGCCAGCCCAGGTCTGTGTTGCTTTTATCATGTCCCAGCAACGCGGCACGGGCTGGAGCGGCTTGCTTCTTAGCAACGAGGATTTCACATCAGCTGCAATGTTTCCTACGGTTTGTGGTTATTTAAGCCCCCTTTTCTCAGCTCTACTTAGGAAGTCGCGGTTCTGAGTTTAAAGGAACTGTATATTTCTTGTGCTTGGCGTTCCTTTTTTCATTAAGGGGAGTCAAACATAGAGAAAAAGATCCAATTTTCCTTATTGAAAGACGGGAACTTATTGTCATGTTGCGAAGTAATATCTGTTTTGTTTTTTTACTAAAAAAATAAAAAGGGTTTCACTCGCCTGCTCATGATAGAACCAGGAGCAGGGTGTGAAAGTCACCTGGAGATAACTTAGAAAGATTTTGCAAAAAATTCGAGCTGCCCAACTCTGAGACTGGTCAGTCTACCAGTGGTTATTTGTTTTTGCTGGACTTACTTTTAGACATACTGTGGAAGCCAGCCTAACGCACTGAGAGGGTGTAGTTAGACTATAGATGATTTGTTGGATTCCTAGAGTCGGTTACTCCAACCGGTTTCTTATCTTTCTTGCCGTGCCCCACAAACACATTCACCTATCTGAAAGCACCTAGGACATTTGTTTATGATTCAGGGTTAGAGCAGTGTGGCATACTGCAGCATCAAAAAGGTGTGAGTTGACAATACAATAATAATTTTGGGGGGCAGTCAACAGTTTTGTCCCCTGATCCATTTTAAGAATAACTTTTTTTTTTAACTGCAACTGGGGAAGTACTGTTCACTGAACTATTGGATCAGATTAGCTCATGACTGTAATGCCCAGGAATGTTTTGTGGGAAAGCAGGCCAATAACTTTTCCCTCATTACATTCTTCCAAAAAGGGTATGTGTCATGACTTTTCTCAGTTGCCCTTTAATTGTCTATTTGTATTTCAGCTATCCTTCAGTTCACCTGAAATTTCTTTACTTCTTGTACATTGTCAGCTTGTGCATATGATTGAAAGTTTTTGTTTGTTTTACTCCCTCAGATATTTCCTGCTTAATTTTATTCAGGAACTTCTTGAAGAGTATGCCTTCTAATTGGGATTTGCTTTAGCTCTAGTCTCATTGAGGGCTTATTTTTATAGGTTATCACAGTCCCAAAGTCTGGTCTGTCAATTCTTCAGTCCTAGAGCCTTGAGAAATCAGCTTTGGATAAATGATTTAAACTGTCTAAACTCACTTGCTGATTCGTATCAGAACTGATTTTACTAATTTAAAGTAAAAAGTCTACCTTTCAGAGTACTACCAAAGGTACTACTTTTTGGAATACAAGGTGTAGGTCTAGGTGGTGTACTTATGGGAATTCAAGTATGAGAGGATGAGATCAGACATGCCCTCAAGGAGCTTACGGTCTGGAAGACTAATAGCTTGAAAAACATAATTCAAACAAGGTAAGAATCACATTGCTTTAAATGATTTCCATCCAAGGCTCTTTATATTTTCTCCCTGAGATCTCATTCATTCTCCTGGCCTTAACTATGATCAGTTCACACATCTACTCTGCCAGCCTTGACTTTTCTCCCACATCTAGTCTCATATCTTCAGTTGTGTGGATGCCACCCATCGTTTCCAACAAAGCACATTCCTTCTCCTAAGAGAAGGATTTGGTCATGACTTCCCAATTTTTGTTAATGGTACTGTCTTTCACTCATCACTCACTGTTAAACTTCCTTACTCTTTGACTCATTAAGTTCTGTTGTTTCTTCATTGTTAGTGTTTCTCACAGCTTTCTGTTCCCATGGTCATCTTCCCATTCAGGACCTTACCGTTTTGTGCCTGCACTACCACAATATCCTCACAATTATTTTTACTGCCTCTCATATCTTACCCTTTCAGTTTAGGCTGCACATTAATTTCTCTAAAGAACACTTCAAACATGTCACTTTGCTGTTTTCAATTTGCTGAAAAGCTGAAGTTCATATTCAGCTTTGAATTTAAGATTCTTTATCCTTTGCATGAGCTTCCTATCCTATATTAACTGTCTTTCTCAGGTTGAAGTGATCTTGGGTTCTTCCAAACCCCAGTAACTCTTATTGTCTGTCCACTCATTTGAACATATGAATTATAGCTTTGTATGGATTAACTAATGTAATGTATTTTGAACTTCTGTCATTTACTAGGCATGCAATTGGTGTCTGGGAATACAGCAGTGAGCTACACAGACCTGTCTCTGCTCTTTTGGAGATTATAGCCTGATGGGGAAAATAAATATCAAATAATCACAGTTATTTGTTTGTAAATGCTGATTAGTGCTATGAATGAAAAATATATGGTGCTGTGGTGCAGTGGTTAAGAGCTCGGCTGCTAACCAAAAGGTCAGCAGTTAGAATCCACCAGCCACTCCTTGGAAACCCTATAGGGTAGTTCTACTCTGTCCTATAGAGTCGCTATTTGTTGAAATCGACTTGACAGCAATGAGTTTTTTTGTTTTTGTTTTTGTTTTTTTGTGAATGCGTGTAATAAGGGAAGCTGATCTAACATGGGAGACAATGGGGAGAGTTAGGGAGGGTTTCCCTGAAGTAGCTGAGATTGAAGAATGAGTAGGTGCTAACTAGAAGTGGCAGGAAAAGTGCATTCTAGACAGAGGGAACTGCTTTTGCAAGGCTCTGCTGTCTTTAATAATTATTCTGTCTTCTCAGTTAGAAACCAGTTGTCTTCACGTTGGTTTAGACTCATGGAGACTCCATGTGTGTCAGAGTAGAACTGTGCTCCATAGGGTTTTCAATGGCTGATTTTTTTGGAAGTACATTGCCAGACCTTTCTTCCGAGGTGCCTCTGGGTGGACTCGAACCAAGCACGTTAACCGTTTGCACCTCCCTAACACTTTCGGCTGCCAGCTGAAAAGTTAGAGATTGGAGTCCACCCAGAGACACCTCAGAAGGAAGGCCTGGCGATCTACTTCTGAAAAATCAGCCATTAAAAACCCTATGGAGCACAGTTGTACTCTGACACATGGAGTCGCATGAGTTGAAATCAGCTCATTGGCAACTGGTCTCAAGAGTAAATTAATTGAAATGTAAGTGCTTGACCTCTTATTCTTTTTTATACTACTACTACTTATAACACTATGTTTTGCATGTACTAGGTACACAATAGATGTTTGATTGGGCTATCTCTCTTGGGAAGTTTGACAAACTCTCCAGCTCTCTTACTGAATGGCACCATGACCACCCTTATCCTTATTTGATTTGCAGTTAAGATTATGGTGTCACCCTTTCTGACAAGTTTGTAAATTCTTCCATGTCTCCCAAATTTATGGGTATTTTATATTGAATTTTTAAAACTTTATTTTGAAATAATTATAGATTCACAGAAAATTGCAAAGATAGTAGAGAGGTCCCTGTGTACCTTCGCCCAGCTTCCCCACTTGGTTACATCTTACATAACTATAGTACAATATCAAAATCAGGAAATTGATGTTGATCTGAAGTATGTGTATAGTTTTGTATCATTTTACTACATGTGTATATTCATATAACCACTACTGTAGTCAAGATGCAGCACTATTCCATCACTCATGCTACCCCTTTAGATCACACCTCTCCCCTTGCCCCCACTATCCCTAATCCCTGGCAACCACTAATCTCTTCTCCATCTCTATAATTTTGTCATTCTCAATAACGTTACATAAATGGAATCATACAGTATGTGACCTTTTAAGATTGGCTTTGTCACTCAGCATAATACTTTTGAGATCCATTCAAGTTGTATGTATCAAGAGTTCCTTTTTATTGCTAAGTAATACTCCATGGTATGGATATATCACAGTTTAATCGTTCACCTATTGTAGGACATTTTGGTTATTTCCAGATTTTGGCTATTATAAATAACCTACTATGAAACCATGTACAGGTTTTTGTGTGGACGTAAGTTTTTGTATCTCAAAGATAAATGCCTAGGAGTGTGATTGCTGAGTCGAATGGTAAATGTATGTTTAGTCTTTTAAAGAAATTCCCGAACTCTTTTCCAGAGTGGCTGTAACATCGTACGTTTCCACCAGTTTCTCTGCATCTTCACCAGCATTTGGTCTTGTCATTATTTTTTATTTTAGCTGTTCTGAAAAGTGTGTAGTGATATCTCATCAGTCTTAATTTGCATTTTCCTAATGATTAGTAATGTTGAAAATCTTTTCATTACTTATTTGCCATCCATGTATATCCTCTTTTGTGAAACATCTCTTCATGTCCTTTTGCTCATTTTCTAATTGGATTATTTGCTTTTTTTTAACTGTTGAGTTTTGAGAGTTATTCAGGATATGAGTCCTTTGTCAGATAGGTGCTTTTCAAATATTTTCTCCCAGCCTGTAGCTTGTTTTTTCATTCTCTTAAATAAACAAAAATAATTTTTGTATATGGTATGAGGTCTAGGTCAAGGTTTAATTCAAAATGGATCATAGATTTAATTATAAAACATAAAATAAAACTTTTAGAATAAAACAGGAGAAAATCTGCAGAACC